AGGCGTCAGATTTCATGCAAATGTCTCTCACCCCTCGGTGAGATTCAGAGAAATCGACCGAGGTGAGAGATCTGCTCAGTCCTCCACCACCGCTCATCTCATTCCTCTCGTCTCACTATGTTTTTTTTCTCACTCTCATGCCCGATGGCTTTGTTTTGCTTCTAAAACACTGTTCATGGAGATCAGTTGTCATATTCCTTTTTCCATTTCTGTCAATACTGTCTATAAATAGCGGTGCGTGTTTTTTCACAGGCATTGCCAGCCTCAAACCAGCACATCATCCTTTATACGAAGTCTAGCGCTACCACAGCTGAGTACATATCACTCCAGTCTTTTAATGATCTACAGCGTGCAGAATGGCCATTGTTTACCCACTAAAAAAGGAAAAAAATGTTCGTCATTTTTATAGTGCGTTGTTTCTTATGTACAAAACAAAATGAGAAAAAAAAAGATGTTCAGTGGCAGTGTTTTTTGAATTTTGGTCTGCTCTAAGTATGACTGTGCCTTTGGAGGTGGTAGAATGCAATTCAGATGTTTTTAATTTTAAAGATATAAATTAAAGAATTTTTAAAATTACTCCGGATATCTCTCGTGGGTTTCTGAGTCTGATTTTATCATCTCTGTAGTCATTACCAGTGTAAGGGCGGGGTTACTGTCTGAAAAAGTCACTTTCTTATTAAATTTGACACCCTTGGCTGAAAAAAAAAAACAAGACCGTGACTTCCTGGGCCACGCTCACACGAACACACTCGTCTTCTACCACTTCTGCTGCTGTATAAATAAGACACTGGAACAGGAAACGCAGAATACCTGAAACTCAAAAGTCAGCCTGCTTTAAGCAGAGCAGAAACGGATCAATTGTGCTGGCAACTTTTGACAGCTGGTAACCCGAGCGTGTTCACTGAGAACAGCAGAGGTGGAAGAATCAGAGGTACAGAGCAGAGAAAGATGTTATTGGTGCAGTGTTTCTGCATGTGCGAGGTCCCATGGTACACACAGGATTTTAAAGTTTTGCAATAAATAGCTGAGCAATATTCAGATAAAAGCAGAAAAGCGCAAGTAAATGACTGCAAAGTGTCAAAGTGTCAAAGTACCATGAGTGGCCACACCTAATGAGGCTCAGAGACACACAAACATGTAATTTATGTCAAGAGAACCTCCTTTACGTATCACGTCAGGTAGCTAACAGTGACCCCTAGTGGTGTTTTCCCTCAAGTGCTCTTTTATGGCTGGCAACAGCAGGGCATGTATTATATACTCTGCAGCCACTTCATTAGTTACACCTTGCTAGTACTGGTTTGGAGCCACTATTGCTTTTTAAGCTGCCTTAATTCAACAAGGTGCTATAAACATCCCTCGCAGATGTTGGTCCATACTGACATGATAGCATCACACAGTTGCTGAAAATTTGTCAGCTGTACATCCATGAATGAAATCTTCCATTTCACCACATCCCAAAGATGTTCTAATGCACTAAGATCTGGTGACTGTGGAGGCGATTTAAGTATACAGGGAGTGCAGAATTATTAGGCAAGTTGTATTTTTGAGGAATAATGTTATTATTGAACAACAAACATGTTCTCAATGAACCCAAAAAACTCATTAATATCAAAGCTGAATGTTTTTGGAAGTAGTTTTTAGTTTGTTTTTAGTTTTAGCTATTTTAGGGGGATATCTGTGTGTGCAGGTGACTATTACTGTGCATAATTATTAGGCAACTTAACAAAAAACAAATATATACCCATTTCAATTATTTATTTTTACCAGTGAAACCAATATAACATCTCCACATTCACAAATATACATTTCTGACATTCAAAAACAAAACAAAAACAAATCAGCGACCAATATAGCCACCTTTCTTTGCAAGGACACTCAAAAGCCTGCCATCCATGGATTCTGTCAGTGTTTTGATCTGTTCACCATCAACATTGCGTGCAGCAGCAACCACAGCCTCCCAGACACTGTTCAGAGAGGTGTACTGTTTTCCCTCCTTGTAAATCTCACATTTGATGATGGACCACAGGTTCTCAATGGGGTTCAGATCAGGTGAACAAGGAGGCCATGTCATTAGTTTTTCTTCTTTTATACCCTTTCTTGCCAGCCACGCTGTGGAGTACTTGGACGCGTGTGATGGAGCATTGTCCTGCATGAAAATCATGTTTTTCTTGAAGGATGCAGACTTCTTCCTGTACCACTGCTTGAAGAAGGTGTCTTCCAGAAACTGGCAGTAGGACTGGGAGTTGAGCTTGACTCCATCCTCAACCCGAAAAGGCCCCACAAGCTCATCTTTGATGATACCAGCCCAAACCAGTACTCCACCTCCACCTTGCTGGCGTCTGAGTGGACTGGAGCTCTCTGCCCTTTACCAATCCAGCCACGGGCCCATCCATCTGGCCCATCAAGACTCACTCTCATTTCATCAGTCCATAAAACCTTAGAAAAACCAGTCTTGAGATATTTCTTGGCCCAGTCTTGACGTTTCAGCTTGTGTGTCTTGTTCAGTGGTGGTCGTCTTTCAGCCTTTCTTACCTTGGCCATGTCTCTGAGTATTGCACACCTTGTGCTTTTGGGCACTCCAGTGATGTTGCAGCTCTGAAATATGGCCAAACTGGTGGCAAGTGGCATCTTGGCAGCTGCACGCTTGACTTTTCTCAGTTCATGGGCAGTTATTTTGCGCCTTGGTTTTTCCACACGCTTCTTGCGACCCTGTTGACTATTTTGAATGAAACGCTTGATTGTTCGATGATCACGCTTCAGAAGCTTTGCAATTTTGAGACTGCTGCATCCCTCTGCAAGATATCTCACTATTTTTGACTTTTCTGAGCCTGTCAAGTCCTTCTTTTGACCCATTTTGCCAAAGGAAAGGACGTTGCCTAATAATTATGCACACCTGATATAGGGTGTTGATGTCATTAGACCACACCCCTTCTCATTACAGAGATGCACATCACCTAATATGCTTAATTGGTAGTAGGCTTTCGAGCCTATACAGCTTGGAGTAAGACAACATGCATGAAGAGGATGATGTGGACAAAATACTCATTTGCCTAATAATTCTGCACTCTCTGTAGTGAACTCAAGAAATGTTCTCATTCTCTAGAGATGTCTGTGTGGGGACAAGCTGAACAGATCAGCACTTTCAACCAAAGTTCATAGTCACTTGAATCACCTTTCTTCTCTGTTCTGATGCTCATTTTGCACTTCAGCAGGTATTTTTGGCCACATCTAGACGCCTAAATATGTTGGGTTGGCTGATTAGATATGTGTTAACAAGAAGTTAAACAGGTGTACCTAATATTAGGGGTGGGGGAAAAAATCGATACTGTGTAGTATCGTGATATTTTGTTTGCTAATAATGTATCGATACAGGGACAGCAGAAATCGATATTTTGTTACAAAAAGGTTTTTGTGCTCAGAGCATGTTGATCCTTTTTCTGAGCAAGAATCCTGACATTCCTTCACTGTCCAAATGTGTTTAACTTTTTTTTGGCAGCAATAAACATGACAGTTTACTTATTTTAATTTAAGACATGTTTTATTTTAATTAAGTTTAAAACTTTTTTATTTAATGTAAAATTATATTTTGTTTTAATTTACTTTCAAATTCTTCAGTTGCTGAATGGGCTGCATAGTTTTCATAAATTGCATAGTTCAGAATAGCTATAATTGTACCAGATGGTTGCATTCAGTTAAGTTGGACTAGACTGTAATACAAACCGTTCAGTTTGTCAACAATAAAACTGACTGAAATGAGAGAAAGACTGAGTGCGAGACTTTGATATTAGATAAAATGAATATTGATAAAGTTTACCTTTATGTACAGAATCTGAATATCGCAAAATATATATATATATATATTTTTAAAAATCGCAATAATATCGTATCGTGCGTTAAGTATTGTGATAATATCGTATCGTGGGATGTATGGTGATTCCCACCTCTACTAATGAGTGCATTTGGTCCAAAAGCGACACAGACACAATATTCAAGATTTCAAAGTAGCTGATATATTTATTTCAGATCAGTGCTGCTGGTGGTCGTCTGTTTATAACAATCTCAACACAATATCAACCCAAAGGCAAGACTCGCAGCTGCCATTCAGAATACAAGAATCATACCTGATACGTCTCTGGAAGTGAAAACCAGCAGCTTTATATTGCTGAATATACAGTTTGTGTATATACAATATATGTTAAAGCAGGACACACTTGGAAGACTAAAGTTCAAACTTTTGCACACAAACAATGACCGTGGAAGGACAATTAAGAAAAAAAAAAGGCAGCGTTTGTAAAAAAGCTTTACAAAATAAAGGAAGACAACATGCAACCTGGAGTCTGCACAAACGGCAATGAACTGAGGGATAAATTGCTGTAGGAGAACTCAGCAGTACAATCTACACAAGAATATAACTACACTTTAAAGTCTCCATATGCCGCCATTCTGAGGTGTGCTGAAAGCCCTTCTGAACTTTCTAAATGATAAGAAATAACGATGATTACTCACAGAAAGCTGGCCAAATCTGAAAAGTTATCCCCCACCCAGCCCCATCTTTCCAGTTTAGCCTTTAGTCCACAGTAAGCCGGCCTTTTCTTCTAACCCAAAACTAAAGCGGTCAGGTGGAACAAACAGTTCACGAGATGGGACGTTTCAAGAGGCAAAAAGGTGTTGAGCGATGCAATTTAAAATGAACAGAGGCAATTAATACATTATTCACATTCGTGCTTCTGAACCTTGCAGCTCGGGGCTTCTTTTCACAATCTGACTGCATAAATCTAACCTGCGCACAGTCACCCAGATATACACGTGTTGAAACACCCTGCAAGCCTCTGCAGAGGAAGGAAAAAACCAATATGAGAAAATCAAATGAGGCATGTCTCCTCCTGTGACTTCTGCACCACACACACACACACACACACACACACACACACACACACACAACACACACACACACACACACACACACAAACTGTTATACACGACATACACGTATCTGCAAGTCAGTTAATACAACACTGGGATATGAAGGTGAGTACTTTAAAATGGGGCTACGGGATGACTGAGATGTGCTGAAAACTCTGTTAATGAAATAACTGCTCCGGGGCTCCCGTGAGTATTTAAATCTACGCTCAGGCAGCTCTGAGTAGCTCTGTGAAATGATCGCATTTAATCAGTCTTTTCCCTCCCGTCAGCAGCGAAGCACAGGAGCATCGGGTTCAGTTCACATTATTATCAAAAAAAGGATCCAGATGATGTTCACATGTGGGGAAGCGTTTCACTTCTAGTTGCAACGGATACAATATATATGAATAAAGGGATCGATCCTGGCCTAAGACTTCAGAGCCCTCTTCTTTATCCCGTCTTCTGCCACGAACTCTCACTGCATCTAAAATACAGACGTTTGGAGGTGAGATGTGAGACGTGAGGAGGTAGATTAACACACACAGAAACAAGACCTCGACGAGGCCGCTGCACCAACCTGTCCCTGCTGGGGATTGGCCGGCTGGCCGGAGGGCTGCTGTCCTGTTTGTCCGTAGTACGCAGCCTGCTGCCTGTAGTACTCCGCCCAAGCTGCGCTGTAGTCCTGCTGGCCTCCTGTTGTGGATGCTGAACCTCCTCCTCCTCCTCCTGCTGCTGCTCCTGGAGCTGCAGCTGCTGTACCGGGTATAGAGCCGCCTGCCTGGGCTGAGAAACAGAAACAGACATGAAAAATTAAATAACAACAACAAAATTACATAAATTACTACCTAACATATGCAACATACTCGTACCCATCTTCTTGTAGTACTCCTCCCAGGCCTTGGTGTAGTCCGGCTGGCCCCCCGGTGTCTGTGCAGCCTGGGTCTGGTCACCTGCAGCTTGGGCACCTCCAGCCTGGTTTGCGGGGTACGGGGCTGGCGCAGCCCCCGATGGCTGCTGGTAGTACTGAGCGTAGTAGGCCGCCCAGGCTGCATTGGGGTCATTGGCTGCTGCCTTGCCTAGAAAAGACGCAGGGTGGAGGGGGTGAGGTCCTCATAGGGTGAGGGTGAGCCCCTGCTACTGGCCTGGAGACCGGGCTTGGAGACCAGGGGGAGGAAACAGAGACAGGGTTAGAGCCAGAGCTGCTACAGATAAAGACACCGCATCTCATCACAACATTTCCATCAGAACTCCTGTTGACCTTCTCAGATTAAAAAAAAACCAAGTATAGTGAGAAATAAGTGCGAGGGCTGAGCAGTAAACACTTAAAATCAGCAGAGGTGGTGAAGCCAGCAGTGACTCACTGGGGTCATGTGGTGGTTGAGGCTGCCACTGCTGGTAGGTGTTGCTCCAGCCCTGTGAGCTGTACTGGGGAGGACCTGGAGGACCACCACTGAGGAAAGAAGAAGCGCTTTCTTATTTAAAAAAACAAAAACATCTCAGGGTCATCGTCAGTTCTCTGAAATCTGCTTTAAAGCTGCAGCCACTCACTGTGGAGGTCCAGGAGCCCCAGGCGGTCCGGGGTTGTAGGGGTTTGGGCTGTAAGGAACCATTGGCCCAGCAGGACCTGGCCCAGCTGTCCCCGGGCCCACAGGACACAGTGGACCCTGAAACACATCACATGATGACACATGACGAGTGTTCTTAAGAAATAATAATTAAGAGTAATGATAATCTAGAATGACAAGCACCTCGATCTTCTCCTCAATGAGCTGCTTGGCGTGGTCGATCTGCTGCGGGGACCCACGAATGATAAAAAGCTTAAAGTTGGGGTCTCCGTTGGGGGGTGGCTGTCGAGAGATTTCCACGAATGCCCCCGTCTGCTGGTTGATGGACTTGACGTTCTCTCCTCCTCTGCCAATCACAAGCCCACACTTTTGGGCGGGAATAGAGAAGGTCATTTCCCCTCCGGGGGGACCCCAACCGCCTTGTCCCCCACCTCGCCCCCTATTGCCTGAAGGCATTCCTGGAGGACCTGGGGGACCCTGTGGACAATTATACCACATTACTTCACATATGCCCAGTACGTCACAGCCTCTGGTGATTTTGCCTCATCTGACTATGTTAAAAACACAACAACAAAAAAAACGAAACAAAAAAACAAGGCTAAGCACTTAATTTATCCAAATATTTATGGACGTTATGATGTGAGGCCTTCATCTATTGATTTATGATGTTTTAGAGTGTGACAGCTGATCCGTACCCCCTGTCCCTCCTCTCTGACCCGGATGCTCTGCAGCAGGTCGTTGATGATCTGAGCCGCGTGCTCGCAGCGTTCAGGCGGACCGCTGATGTGTGCGATCTTATCTGGACCGGTCCCGTCATCTGGAAGGGATTTAAAAGTGCATTAAGCGTTTGGGATTAACACTAAATGAAATCAATCAGGTCAGCTTCCAGCACCGGTCAAAGTGAGAGTTAACAGCTGTCTGTAAATTAGGATCTCAAAAAAAGTGCAAAGTGGTAAAAAACAAAAACAAACAAAAAAGAAAACACGCTAAAGGGTCATGCCAGGTGACGTTCTGATGTGACCATTGTTCTTGTAACACTGGATCTATGCAGGGATCCTTCCTTATCTGATTTTCTTTTCAACATACAAGTCAAATCAATAGAAGAAGAAAAGGAGCCAATTTTACCAGCTCTACACAACAGCTTACGCAAAAGGCAATCACACTGCCTGAGTAAAAGATTCACCTGATACAAAGGGGCAAAGTACAGCAGATGCACAGGCTGTCAGGCTAGACAGCGAGTTTGTGACGCTTCATTTGTAGGCAAACTTTTACCCCCTCAAAAAATATCACTGCAATGGAGAAACCTGGTAATTATGTGTTTTAGGGCTTGTACTTCCAGGGAATTTGTGCCACCTAAAGACTCTCTGATGGATGGCAGTGCCAGCTGCCAGCATCTGTTCTGGTACTAATAACATTTATATTGATTTTACTAAATTTACTAAATTAAGTGGTGGCAGCTAAATGAGACCAAAACAGAGGAAAGCAGAACGTCAGCAAATGCGAAAGACGTATAAATGAAGCCACAACGCCGTCGTCAGAGCGTCCCACCTTGTTTGAACTGTATCCTGACTCCGGCATCATTCTGAATTTTCTTGATCATCTCTCCATTGCGTCCAATGACCACACCCACCGAGTGTCGTGGTACTGGGATCTAATATGACAAAAAAAAAAACAACAAAAAAAAACCCCCCCACATCTATCGTTTCCTCTGTTTGTGATTTGGTTAAAAAAAATGTTTTTAAAAACCCTCTGCAGTCACTTCCAGTCTTGCTCCGACACACAAACTTACATCCATGCCGCCTCCCATTCGGGAGCTGAATTCGCTTCTTTCGCTGTAGCCGCCTTGGTCTCTGTCCCTCAGAATCTCCTGCACCATCTCCTGGGCTTGCTGAAAAACCATTAAGGATCAGGAAGCTCGGCACTATGCCACATTTACTTTGACACAATAACAGGACTTTAAAGTTGTACCTGGACTTTGTATGGGTCTCCAATAATGCGCAGAGGCTTGTCAACGTTGGGTCCCTGAGAAGCATCCTGGATTAGGATCATCTTGACCCCTGCACGCTCCTGCATCCAATAACACATAATGAGACATAATTATCAGCCATACGCACTTGAAAGTGTTTACCTACACTGGAGTTACCTCCACTTAGGCTTTTACTGGCACACTAACAGGCTAATTTGGCTATTTTATATACAGTGAGCTTAATGTATAAGAATTATACTGTCTATTATAAATTAGAAACATTAATGGCTTTAAAATGAATGTTGTGCTCTTCTTTAGTCCCACCCTTGCATGGTGCATGGATTGCTGCTATAAAGCATCAGGCTGACTGCTTTCAGTCTGCAGCAAAGCTCATGATCTTGCCCTGATCCAGTGTAAGACAAACCCAATTAAAAACCTCACATTCCTGCAGGATTAAATTAACTCAGACCTTTGCTGCTATTTTAATGTGAAAATACTGACTTTAAGAAAAAGGTTCAGATTTGGCCTAATCAACTCTGGCTGGGTCATGCTGACTTCTAAAAAATGCTGAAGCAAAAAACATGAAATTTACCTGTAGCTGTTTGATGGTCTCTCCTCCCTTGCCGATGACTAGGCCGGCCTTGCCGGCTGGGATCATCATCTCATGAACTGCGCCGTTCTGCCCGTTGCTGGAGTCATGATAAGAAGAAAGAGGGGGAGTACCTCTTCCTCGGGAGACTATCTCATTTAGCAGCCTCTTGGCTTTCCTAACCAAGGGAGGAGCTGATTGGTTACTTCATTTAAGAAACACATCACTCTAGTGTTTAGAATTAAGCACCAGACCGTTAAAACGCTTCCACATAAAACTGCAATGAGTGTATTTGTATGACATCTAAAACTCACTGTATGGAGTCTTGTGTCCCTGTGAGGGAGACGTTTCTCTCTGGAAGACCTCCACTGTCTGCACAAGCAGAAAATGTACATATTTAACAAACTGAGCATAAAAATAATAATAATCAGAAGAAGTTTACACACACTCATCCTGGGCATGAATGTCATGGTAATTTCAGGCTTTTAATCATTTCTTTGAACTGTTCTTTATCCAGGGTGGTTAGTGACTGTACAGCATACACCTTTAATGACTTAAAAAATAGTTTCAATATTTTTCCAATTTTCTACAATCCACACAGTCTCAAATGTCTGTTAGTGAGTTGTACCTTTTGGTAGTCATCAAAAAACTTCTGGCAAAATTACAGCTGGATATCTGACCACGCTTCCTGACAGAATTTAGAAGAGTTCATTTAAACTTGTTGGTTTTCTAGCACAGACTCAGATTTTAATCTTAAAGCATTAAGCATACAATAGGGTTGAGATCAGGGCTTTGGGAAGACCATTCTAAAAGTGTCAGCCTGCTTTTATCTATTCCAAATGCAGTTTTGATTTGTGTTTAGGATCATGGCCCTGGTGGGACACCCAACTGTGTTGGAGTTTCACTTATCTAGCTGTTGATTTGAGGTGAAGTTGAAGAATTTGGAGATAGTCCTCCTTCCTCATCATTCCAACTTCTTTGTGCAATGTACCAGTACCACTGGCAGCTAAACAGTCTCAGAGCATGATACTACCACCACCATGCTTGACATTACAGCGTTAGATACAGTGTTCTTAGGTGCCTTTACTCCTCCAAAGTAGTAAAGGAGAGGCCTCTTGTGGGAAGCGTGACCATAAAGCTTTTCTCCAGAAGGCATTCAGCTTGTCCATGTGTGGAAATTTGAGTAAAGCCTGAAGGTGTCCACTTTGGAGCAGGGGCTTCTTTCTTGGTCGGCACCCTCTCAGACTACGTCCACACTAGCCCGGATAGATTTGAAAACGTCGTTTTAGAAAGTCTGCGTTTTTGAGTGTCCACACTGCGACGGGACAGCTCTGTTTTCAAATGTATGCGTTTTCACAACGCCGTCTCAGTGTGGACGGGAGGCCAAAACGGAGAGAAAACGATGCATTTTCAAATGAAAACGCATTAGTGTGGACGTAGCCTCAGTTCATGATGATGTAAAGCTTGTTTCACTGTGGCAGTGACACTGGTGTTCCAGCAGTCTTTTATGGCAGGCTTGAGTCTTTGTGGTTCCTGGGTTGTTCCTAAACATCTTAACCAGTTGCTTTTAAACTGAGGGTGACCGCTGGGGTCTTCTTCAAATCTTGGCAAAGTGGTGACATATCTGAAAAACTTTACTTCAGATATTTTTTGTTTGAATCCATGATTGTGATATCTGCAGTTGTTTAGAAATGGCTCCAAGAGACTCACCCACCTTGTGTAAATCTACAATTCTCCATCTTAGATCTTCACTAAATGCCTTTCAGTGAAGAACAGCATTAAGTGAGCGTATGTAAAGGTTTGACCCTATGTGGATTAGAGAAAATCCAAAATAAACCCAAACTTGTACACTAAATTCTTGTTTTATAAAGTAATTAAAGATGCATGCTGTACAATCATTGCACCCTGAAAAAAGAAAACCCCAAATTACACTGACATTCACGCCCAGGATGAGGATCTGTAGACGACGAGTGCAACCAGTACCTGGAGCTATCTGAACCTTGCAACCCGACTCTTGCTGAATCTTATTGATCTGTTCACCTCCACGGCCAATAACTGAAGAGAGAAGGTGGGGTTTAAAAAAAAGTGTGGTATACAGTACGTGTTAAAATAAAGCTGGGCTACACTCACTGAGTCCCACCATACTGTCAGGAACACTGTACTCCTCTGTGGTGGAAGTGGGTCTGATGCCATGATTACAGGAGGGATACAAAGGTGGGGGGGAAAAAGCAATAAATCAGACAATAGCAAAGTCAGATTAATACACAGTCACCTGAGAGGTACGAGATCTCACCTTTGCTGTGCAAGAGCAGCTAGCTGTGCACCAATAGCTGAGTGAGAAAACAAGGCAGGGGAGAGGTTTAGGATTACCAACGGACTAATGTGGAGGACGCAGACACCCACTGTTGACTGTAGGTCACAAATAACAATGCATGCAACAGTAAGATGAACTCACACAGCGCTTTGGCTGACTCCAAGTCACTCTGAGCAGCCAGCTTCTTAGTCTCTGGCTCATCTGTCAGAGGAGGAAATGAAATGAATGTTCATAGGAGACTCCCTGGAACTAAAATAGTCACAAAGCGAGCGAAATAAAGGTGCAGTCACCAGTATTTGTGTCCTCTAGCTGTCGTTTCTGCGCAGTGAAGGGAAAACTATCTGGAGCAGTGCTGTTGTTCACAGGAGGACCAGCGTCGCCCCCGATCTTAGCTGCGATCTGAAACACAAGCAGAAGATTTGCCAGATAGTTCACTGTAGTATGGCAGATCTACAGTATTACTGCTTTTTAATGATTTTTACACATTTTTCTGATTTCCCCCCAAGCTCCCTCCTTGGGGTTAACCCACCCCACCCACGGAAATCCTGGGAATGCCTCTGGCAAGACTGTAGTTTATTTTATGGATCAAATCCACCATTTTTTTAATGAGCTATGTGATGGATACTGATGTGTTTTCTATTCTTTGGCCTTGAGGCTGCAGCACACACCTGAATTATCCTGAAACACCTTTATATCAACTACTAACATTCATAATGTAGCTCAGCGCAGAGGAAGAAGCTGGTAGTGAAGTGAAGATAATAATGTTCTCTGAAGGTTTTCAGTGTTGTCACACTGGATATTTGGTGGGACGCTGAAACTGTCCGGCCTCAGTTAAAGCTAACGCTGACATGTGATGGATGAAGCGGCAGAGGTGTGCCTGACTGTAGACACGTTCACCATGAAGTGTTTGAATGTCAAATTTAACCTGGTCTCAGGTGTGTCCGCCTTCATACATGCTAGCTTCTTAGCTGTCTGTTTCATCCCTGCCTCACCTGCCGGGCCCGCTGCACCGCGTCCGCAAACGCATCCTTCTTGGCGCCCCCCGCTCCGTTCCCCACAGCCGCCTGTCCGGGCAGAGGAGCCCCGGGGACGGGCGGAGGTACCGCGTTGTACTCCGACATGGTATCCAGAAAAGACCGAAGAGGAGAGAGAAGCAGAAAGCCGGGATCAGAGCTACGCAGGACTGGGATGGGAAGTCAAGAAAGTGACGGGAAGGATAGCGCCGGTTGGAGACACGACGGGGGCCGGCGAGGATCATTCGCAATTTTATTGTTGTTTTGGTGGTAGCTGATTTATTATCATAGAAAACATGATCAAAGCTCATATGCAGGATGTAAAAGAGACTTTTTATTTAAAAAAAAAATAGTTGTGCTTGAGCGATTTAACAGCCTATCCAAAGCCCAATAACTTATGTTTTTTAAATAGATTTTGTATTATGAACAAAAAATATAAAAAGGAAAAGTAACCGAACTTTAATTGTGGTGGGATACAGGTGCAATATAGCAGAAATGAACTACTTTGGTCCAGCACTACAGTAAACATGGTTTAGGTATTTTCCACCTCCGTCCCAAGTTACTTACATCTTCCCAGTAAGATGACTCTTGCTTAAAAATATAAAACTGCAGTCGACCTTTCAAACTGTTTTCTGAGTAAAGTTTGAGCCAAATCATGAAACATTTGAAATGCAATTATCGTAATAAACTCAGCAACCATTTCAGATTTTTTCAAATCAGCTGTGATTCTTATGGTGCACTTCTATGAAATGTGATCTAATATCAGCTGTACTTGTACTCCAAGTTTCTAGTATCGGAGAGACTTGGACTATATGTGTCTTATGAACTTTGAATCAACACTGGGACAAATATTTTGTCATGTATTCAAGTAACTGTGAGTGGAGCTGTGGAACACGGAAGATTTCTTTGATGGCTTGTCGATTTCTAACATATCAATGACACCGTAAATTTGTAGTTTTTTAAAAAAAAAATGCATTGTATTAGTTGCATCTTTAAAATATGTTTATCAAAATGTGTAATTCTAATGATTATTTAAACATAATTTTATGCAGTAAAATGTATGGAAATTAAATTAGGGCATTAACAGATGGAACTAAGTTTTTTACACTGCAGCATTTTGCTGTAATTTCTTTTCTTAGAGTGAAAGTACTGGGTTGCAAAATTATTACAGTCTACATTTCAAAGTTGTTGTTTTTTATCACAAGCAAAATACAGAAAACAGTCAAACATAAAATCTTTATTGAATTCTTAACGCTGAACCATTTAATGTAGAACCAGGAGCAAATATAAGGTTTGGGCTAGGGTGGCATCAGCCGTTTTGACAACAAGAATCTGCTAACTATATTAAAACCAACTGAAGGTTGCATAGCTTATTACATAAAAAAAACTAACCTATTTTTAAAAAATCAGGATCTTAGTACCTCTGTTTCAATCCAGTTTTTTTTAGTTTGCTTAGCAAGTTCCTGCATTTGAGTTTTTATAGAGTTTTTCTTCTAATGAATAACTATCTTGTCCGTTGTGGGAATTGCTGGTTAATCATTTTCATCAGGCAGAGGACTTTCATCCACATGACTGGCTGAGGCGCTCATGCTGCCAATCCCCGAGGTGACATCAGAGTTTCCAGCTCTGGTCTTCAGCCATTCAGACACTTTGGCACGTGCTCTTTGATTAAAAAGTTCTGACATGTTCCCAAACTCGGAGGGAGCGTCTCCGCTCACTGAAACAGAAATTAAATGCTATTTGATATCATACCTCCAAGTAAAAATATAAAACAAATTCAGAGTTTTCTCTAATTAATATCAACTCACTGCTTGGAATGAAAACTCCATCCAAGCTGGCTCCTCGCTTCACAAATGGTTGTGTTGGCTCTTCTGGTTCATTTACAACAGCTCTCAACATTCGGTCTATCAGCTCTTGCTCCCTCCTGTTCCACTCTTCTTCTGTCAGCACAGACTGTCTTGATCGCCAGGGCAGTTTGTGTTTTTTCCCTTGTTTGCTTTCAGCAGTGAAGCATTGTTCCTTGTTCCGTGTGATCATGTCAGTGATTTTTTGGAAGAGCAGTTTGACAGGAAAATGATAACCCAAACCATGGCAGTTGAGGACATGGTATCTGTACCCACAGTTTTCCACCAGCCACTGGAGGCTTTTCCCCTCTCCTGCAATGTGCTCCTCAATGAGTCTGTCATTCAGCCAGTCTCCCCAGGTGAACAACACCATGCAATGTCTCCACACTCTCTCTCCAAAGGGCATCAACAGCTCAACCAGTGCTTTGTGGTCTTCCTCTGTGAATGCTTTGGAAATGGGAACAACCAAAAGAAAAACATGAGGGCCTGGAGCGCACATGGAGACGCTGCGGAGAACTTCTTCTTTTAGCCAGACAGGAGCCGTCGTGTCTGCAGGCCAGCCTGGAGTCTCAACGACTGCAACATTTATTCCACCTAAATTTCCTTCATGCTTTACACACTTTTCTGTTCTTCTCCGGTCCTCGAATTCCTGCATAGAAACAAAGATCCAAACATTATTCAATGATCATGACACCTGATAAATTACACGTGAACCTCGGGCATTATATTTGGTTACCTTCTTCACCCAAACTCTCTCAAATATCTCTTCAAAAAGGATGTTGTTTCCTGCCATACTCTTCCCAGATTCCTCTCTGCCAAGCAGTACAATCCTCAGGTCAGTGATTGTCAGCCTCTCTCCTGTAAAAAAGTAAAGTTTAAACTGAAAGAGTGACTAAAATAATGCCATAATTATTTGATGATTTCTTGATTACCTTCAAATAACTTTCCCAGTATTCTTGATTGTCTTTCAGTGGTCTTTCTGATCCTCCTAGCTAATTTTCCTTCTGCCTCTTTTCTGGCCTCCAGCTGTGCTTCACGATCCGGATCAACTTCATAATGTGAGTTTTCATTTCCTGCCCACATCTCTTCAATCTTCTTCAGGAGATCTTGTACCTGCATCTCATCATTGTGCTTCATGTTGTCCAGGACGTGGTACCTGTTCCCACACTGCTTCATCAGCCACTGCAGACCTTCCTCACTCTCTATACGTTCTTCCACAGTCTTCACTCCCAGCCAATCACCTCTAGTGAACAGAACAATGGTGTGCTTCCAGACATCATCCCTAAACAGACTCATGTGCTCCTGGACTGCTCTGTGGTAGGATGTATTAAATGCAGATGCCAGGCTGACCACGAGGAGCACTGCGTGGGGTCCTGGAGTGCACATGTACACACTGTTCTCTATTTCATGTTTATCTGTCTCAGACTCAAGACTATGTGCTCCTGGATTTTGTAGGTGTATTAAAGATGCAGCACAGAGGACACTGTGGGGTCTGGAGTCACATACACACTGTCTCTATCTGTTATGTAGATCTGAAGTGTGTGAACCACCAGACACTGCGAGTCTCCTTTCTCCCAGAACGCCGTGATTAATTTCACAGGACATCGTTGTTCTTCTGTGATGAACAGCAAAAGCCTTTTTCCTCAGAATGGTGTTTCCAGCTGAGCTCTTAGCTGACCACTGAGCACCAACCATCACTAGTCTTAAATGTGCTGGTGGGGTTTTACCACCTGCAGAATCGGAAGGTAAACTAATCAGTAGTCTCATGCATCAAATTACATTTGATGGTTAGATAATGATGTGTGTCACATAGTTTATCAAGAGAGCTCCTCTTACTGCGAAAGCCATATTTGGCTGTGAGACATGACATCTACAAGGCAAATGGTTGTAGTTCATCTACAGTTTATAGTTACAGCACGATTTTATATTCGTCATGTGATCACTGCGTTTAGCACATTAAAATATCTTTGTAAGATCTTGACTTAGTATAAGTACAAATATTTTCTTTGACATTTTACTTTGGAGCTTTATTAGCATTATTTATGTTTAAGAAATCATTTTACAAAACTCTGTGATTCTGTGTTTGATCACAAACATCTGGATTCACCCATTTATTTCAAATTTATCCTCTTCTTTCTATCATGGTGGGTATTTTGTAAAATGTGAGGCTGTACCTTCAATTAGTGCTCTGAGTTTCCTTCTGTTTGTCTGCACCTCATCAAACCTCTTTGATGCTCTGTCACTTATTGCTTTCATTTCCTCCCTCAGAGCGTTTCCATGAGCACGATCAATGGGATAGTGACGACCTCCATTTGTAGCGACCATTGCCTCGATTTTCTCAAAAAGCTTTTCGACTTGACTGCTGTCCTCCCTGTTACTCACACAGAGGACATGTTTTCTGTTTCCACATTGCTCAAGAATCCATTGCATTTCTGACCACTCACTGATTGTAGTTTCTACATTTTTTTCATCCCATGCATCTTCAGCAGTGAACAGTACGATGGTGTGATTCAACACATCCTTGTGGAAGAGTTTCAGGTGCTCGTTTAAAGATGATATGAAGATCTGGGGTAAAAAAAAGCTATGATGAAAGACCAGAAGAAAGGCGTGAGGTCCTGGGGGACACAGATGGACGCTGTTCTGGATTTCTATCTGATCCAGCTTTGGGGTGTTTTCTAGTGGATAGTGCCACCACCAGCCTGGAGTATCAACCACAGTGACCCGTCTGCCATGAACCTCCTGCTGCCCCGCCACACTATGGGCAGTTCTTCTGCTGGTGTCAAAAACATTTTGACCCAGTATGATGTTACCGCTCAGACTCTTATTACTGGGCTCTCCTGTTAATTCTCTGCCACCGATCAGCACGATCCTCAACTCTGGAGAGTCGTGACTGTGCCCTGCAACACAGATGCAGCACTGAGTGGTATATAACTTTAAAAGTTTAATTATTGTTAGCAATCACGAAATTATTCGTTAGTTAGAAAAAGAAAGATCATTATATTCTGCATGTATTTTGTCAAGACATGGACGTGCCCTTAAACACAAACAGGAAGTATCACATAAACAGTCATCAGATCATGTTTCCATCAGACAGCTCAGTGTGATATGGATCGGTACAACATTTCATCCTGTCTATTTGAATTTGCCCTTAAATTCAAAGCCAAACTATAATAACAGCTTTAGGCACAAGTACTACAGCTACATCTCTCTATGCAGCTTTGCTGACATAGATTTGTTGTGTGTGATCACACTGAGAGATGAGTGTGATCTCACTCTAAACAGTCGTACTTTATCAACAAATAATCAACAAGTAGCAAAAATCAAACCTATATTCTGTTACAATGACATAAGACGACTCACCGAGGCTAGAAACAGCATGTTTATCAGCCATTATTTTAAACAAAGCTATTTCTGATTCAAACGATGACTAAAGTGACAACTATACAAGTAGGAACTCTTCACAAAATACGGTGTGGCATGTACTTTGAACTGTTGTCTCTTTTTTTACTCCCTGGCTGCAGTTAGGTGCATCATTTGTTTAACTGTTTAGGGATTGCAGACACTGACTGATAAGTAGTTTCATTGCTGGGTAATGCTCATTCCCTTGTTATTTCATGACAAAAATAGGGCGATCGTGGCTCAAGAGATGGCAGTTCATCTTGTAATCGGAAGGTTGCCGGTTCAAGCCCCGGCTTTGACAGTCTCTGTTGTTGTGTCCTTGGGCAAGACACTTCACCCGTTGCCTACTGGTGGTGGTCAGAGGGCCTGGTGGCGCCAGTGTCCGGCAGCCTCAGCCTCTGTCAGTGCACCCCAGGGCAGCTGTGGCTACAATGTAGCTTGCCATCACCAGTGTGTGAATGTGTGGATGACTGGATGTATTGTGAAGCGCTATGCAAATACAGGCCATTTACCATTGCAAATTCAAATTAAGCAGATGAACAATCTGAAGATGATTCCTGTGACATAAATGACAGACCCGACCACATAGCTCGTACCTTTTACACTTTTCTTTATTTCGGTTGTCGTGTCCAAAGCTCACAGCCGCAGCTTTTCAGCTGCATCCTACACACCACAACAACCCCAACCACGTTTAATACAGGAGAGGCATGATGAGCTGATGGAGCTCCGGTGTGTCAACCTCCCCTGTGGCTGCGCCATGAAGCATGCTCATCACAATGTTCATGCAGGTCAAGAAAGCTATCATTAGGCTGAAAAATAGAAATAAAAATATCAGAGAGGCAGCTGAGGCTGCACTGGCCTGGGAATGCACTGCCCAGCTCACTGATGCCAAAAGGCCTGAAAGACGACAGATGATGACATAAAGTGCAATCACAAGGGTCTCAAGGTTTACAATCAAGGGATGCATTCATGAAATTACAGGTTTACAAAGCTGGGTATATTTAAGAACAGGGAGGGCAGCTTAGACTTCACAGGAAAACATCTAAAAGAGATGCACAGTTCTGGAAAAATTATTTGAACAGATTAAACCAAGATGAATTTGTACTAGAATGAGGACACTTCAATGCTGATTGGATAACGATCCAACGCCTACTGCAAAACAAATCCAAGAGTTTTTCTGAGAACTGAACATTCCTAATTGGTCAAGTCAGTCACCTGATCCTCAACGCAACAGGGCAACATTTTTCAGCCTGCCTGAAACAAACTGAAAACAGATGAGACCCACAAACGCGGTTAGGTGGCTGCAGGAAAAGTCCTGGCAGAGCACCTCAAGGGAGGAGAAACTGCATTTAGTGATGTCACTGAATGCAAAGGATTTTAATTCAAATACTTTTTTTCAAAAACCCTCGATTTAAATTATATTAGCTTGTCCAAATACTTTGAGCCTCTGAACACCAGACTATCTTTAATAATGTTTGTAATTCCTAAACAGTATACCGTATGTTAAACCCCCTGTGGTTTTATACAAAGACATTGTACCACTCAACGAAGAAAACATCTTTGGTTTCTAAAAAGTTTTGGAAAGTGAGTATTTACCTGTCAGCAGAGGTGACAAGTAATGAAGTACAAATACATCATTACTTCTTTAAGTTGCTTGAAGATGTTTCACCTCTCATCCGAGTTGCTTGAAACGTCCAGACGCTTTTCTTTGCAAGCTCCTTTGACTACGATGACCTGGATGACTGAGAACCTTCACAGACAAAAACATCATTACTGTAATTAAATACAATATTCTGGTATCTGTAGTACTTATTTTTCTGAAACCTTTTACTTTTACTCAATTTTTACAAAAATATCTGACCTTTCTACTCTTTACACTTTCAAAACAGGCTTGTTACTTAACACATTTGGGGGAAGTATTATTTCAAACCACTGTGGGCCTTCAAACCAATAAATATGGGACTAACAAAATAGAACAAAGATATATAAAGACCATTCTACTGGTGTATCCATCACCAGTGCTTATTGCATACAAAGGAATGAAGGAGGCAAAAAGGTAGTTTATGCAGTGTGTTTGCAGTACTTCAGCATTAAGCTAGCCCTACAGAAGAGGAGCGAGTATAAAGGGAGTAAGAAGGTTTTTTGTTTGTTCTTTTTTTAATGGCAGATAATTTCAAATGCAGTGTTTATGTAAGCTCAACAAATATCAGCAAACACACAAATTGTTTCTGTGTCACACAGGTACAGGTACAGGTGTTTTATTTCACAGGGAAGAAAGAAATGAGAGCTGTTCACTCAGAGATGGGGAAACATGAGAAAGGCAGAACAGAAGAAGAAGAGAGGTTATTTTTAAAGGTAAGGACTACTCGGGGACATTTGATAAAAAGGAAATTTGAAGCTTACATGTAATGTGTTTATTTTTTAAATAAGATATTGGTTGTGTATGATGTGAAGTTCAGCTTTTTATATATTGTGATATACCCAGCAAAACAAAACAAAGTGTGTACTTAGTTTTTGTTATTCAGATGTTCCATGACAACACTCAGCAGTTTAGTGCAGGATAAACATGTTAGATTGTCACTGTGATGAATCTACAATAATGCACTGTGTTGGTGCACAGTTGCTTTGGTGTTCATGTCACAGTTAGGTTACATAAAATGTAGCAGAGATTATTTTAATTTAATTAATTTAAATCCACAAAAAGCAGTAAACCTCAGAGCAACAACAGAACATTGAAGTGACAGAAATGTTCGTGAGCTGTGATTCTTTTCCCACTACAACGATTATTTTGACTTGCTTTACTTTGAGAAAATTTCGTAACCTGTACCCACAAAACATTGGACGTCAGATACATGGGCAGAGCATGTCTGTATTAGGTCCATCGGTCCATGACCAATTCTGGGCATCGATACACGTCCAAACTTGGTCCACAATTTGAACATCCAACCATGACCCAACCTGGACGTCAATATGACGTTCAACACTTGACCTTCATGTCTGTGACAGGTGCAGGGAATTTACATGATTAATAAATGTAATATTTCTTTATTTACAAACATTAACATTGTTTTTAAATGGGTCAATTCCCCATTTTATTGTGAAAAATGATAAGAGTAAGAGAACAAAAATGTAAATATTAAATTAGCAGGACTTTATTTTTTTCATAAAAATACAGTGTGCCAACCCAAGTGGCTGGGCATGCACTATTAAATCCAAAAAACAATATTTAATATTTATCTTAATTGCCCCTTCGGGATAAATAAAGTCTCTCTGATTCTGATATTGGAAAAAAGATCAGATTATCATGTGTTTCTGTTTTTAACAAGAATGTGTGAATTCAAATTATTATTATTATTTTCAAATTATTTAATGTTTCACAGAACTTGCTGGTTAATCGTTTTCATCAGGCAGAGGACTTTCATCCACATGACTGGCTGAGGCGCTCATGCTGCCAATCCCCGAGGTGACATCAGAGTTTCCAGCTCTGGTCTTCAGCCATTCAGACACTTTGGCACGTGCTCTTTGATTAAAAAGTTCTGACATGTTCCCAAACTCGGAGGGAGCGTCTCCGCTCACTGAAACAGAAATTAAATGCTATTTGATATCATACCTCCAAGTAAAAATATAAAACAAATTCAGAGTTTTCTCTAATTAATATCAACTCACTGCTTGGAATGAAAACTCCATCCAAGCTGGCTCCTCGCTTCACAAATGGTTGTGTTGGCTCTTCTGGTTCATTTACAACAGCTCTCAACATTCGGTCTATCAGCTCTTGCTCCCTCCTGTTCCACTCTTCTTCTGTCAGCACAGGCTGTTTTTTCCCTTGTTTGCTTTCAGCAGTGAAGCATTGTTCCTTGTTCCGTGTGATCAAATCGATTATTTTTGGGAAGAGCAGTTTGACAGGAAAATGATAACCCAAACCATGGCAGTTGAGGACATGGTATCTGTACCCACACTTTTCCACCAGCCACTGGAGGCTTTTCCCCTCTCCTGCAATGTGCTCCTCAATGAGTCTGTCATTCAGCCAGTCTCCCCAGGTGAACAACACCATGCAATGTCTCCACACTCTCTCTCCAAAGGGCATCAACAGCTCAACCAGTGCTTTGTGGTCTTCCTCTGTGAATGCTTTGGAAATGGGAACAACCAAGAGAAAAACATGAGGGCCTGGAGCGCACATGGAGACGCTGCGGAGAACTTCTTCTTTTAGCCAGACAGGAGCCGTCGTGTCTGCAGGCCAGCCTGGAGTCTCAACGACTGCAACATTTATTCCACCTAAATTTCCTTCATGCTTTACACACTTTTCTGTTCTTCTCTGGTCCTCGAATTCCTGCATAGAAACAAAGATCCAAACATTATTCAATGATCATGACACCTGATAAATTACACGTGAACCTCGGGCATTATATTTGGTTACCTTCTTCACCCAAACTCTCTCAAATATCTCTTCAAAAAGGATGTTGTTTCCTGCCATACTCTTCCCAGATTCCTCTCTGCCAAGCAGTACAATCCTCAGGTCAGTGATTGTCAGCCTCTCTCCTGTAAAAAAGTAAAGTTTAAACTGAAAGAGTGACTAAAATAATGCCATAATTATTTGATGATTTCTTGATTACCTTCAAATAACTTTCCCAGTATTCTTGATTGTCTTTCAGTGGTCTTTCTGATCCTCCTAGCTAATTTTCCTTCTCCTCTTTTCTGGCCTCCAGCTGTGCTTCACGATCCGGATCAACTTCATAATGTGAGTTTTCATTTCCTGCCCACATCTCTTCAATCTTCTTCAGGAGATCTTGTACCTGCATCTCATCATTGTGCTTCATGTTGTCCAGGACGTGGTACCTGTTCCCACACTGCTTCATCAGCCACTGCAGACCTTCCTCACTCTCTATACGTTCTTCCACAGTCTTCACTCCCAGCCAATCACCTCTAGTGAACAGAACAATGGTGTGCTTCCAGACATCATCCCTAAACAGACTCATGTGCTCCTGGACTGCTCTGTGGTAGGATGTATTAAATGCAGATGCCAGGCCGACCACGAGGAGCACTGCGTGGGGTCCTGGAGTGCACATGTACACACTGTTCTCTATTTCATGTTTATCTGTCTCAGAGGTGTCCTGAAGGGTGTGGTTGTAGAACCAGCCAGGAGAATCCACCACTGCGAGTCTCCTTTCTCCCAGAACGCCGTGATTAATTTCACAGGACATCGTTGTTCTTCTGTGATGAACAGCAAAAGCCTTTTTCCTCAGAATGGTGTTTCCAGCTGAGCTCTTAGCTGACCACTGAGCACCAACCATCACTAGTCTTAAATGTGCTGGTGGGGTTTTACCACCTGCAGAATCGGAAGGTAAACTAATCAGTAGTCTCATGCATCAAATTACATTTGATGGTTAGATAATGATGTGTGTCACATAGTTTATCAAGAGAGCTCCTCTTACTGCGAAAGCCATATTTGGCTGTGAGACATGACATCTACAAGGCAAATGGTTGTAGTTCATCTACAGTTTATAGTTACAGCACGATTTTATATTCGTCATGTGATCACTGCGTTTAGCACATTAAAATATCTTTGTAAGATCTTGACTTAGTATAAGTACAAATATTTTCTTTGACATTTTACTTTGGAGCTTTATTAGCATTATTTATGTTTAAGAAATCATTTTACAAAACTCTGTGATTCTGTGTTTGATCACAAACATCTGGATTCACCCATTTATTTCAAATTTATCCTCTTCTTTCTATCATGGTGGGTATTTTGTAAAATGTGAGGCTGTACCTTCAATTAGTGCTCTGAGTTTCCTTCTGTTTGTCTGCACCTCATCAAACCTCTTTGATGCTCTGTCACTTATTGCTTTCATTTCCTCCCTCAGAGCGTTTCCATGAGCACGATCAATGGGATAGTGACGACCTCCATTTGTAGCGACCATTGCCTCGATTTTCTCAAAAAGCTTTTCGACTTGACTGCTGTCCTCCCTGTTACTCACACAGAGGACATGTTTTCTGTTTCCACATTGCTCAAGAATCCATTGCATTTCTGACCACTCACTGATTGTAGTTTCTACATTTTTTTCATCCCATGCATCTTCAGCAGTGAACAGTACGATGGTGTGATTCAACACATCCTTGTGGAAGAGTTTCAGGTGCTCTTTAAAGATGATATGAAGATCTGGGGTAAAAAAAAGCTATGATGAAAGACCAGAAGAAAGGCGTGAGGTCCTGGGGGACACAGATGGACGCTGTTCTGGATTTCTATCTGATCCAGCTTTGGGGTGTTTTCTAGTGGATAGTGCCACCACCAGCCTGGAGTATCCACCACAGTGACCCGTCTGCCATGAACCTCCTGCTGCCCCGCCACACTCTGGGCAGTTCTTCTGCTGGTGTCAAAAACATTTTGACCCAGTATGATGTTACCGCTCAGACTCTTATTACTGGGCTCTCCTGTTAATTCTCTGG